TATTACATTATTAAGAAACACCTATGATACATGTATTAACTAATTATTTAAAGTGTCTGTTAAGTTAATCAGTTTTTCTTAGAGATAATTTACTCATCAGGTCATGGTTTGGTGAAATAATTGCTTTTTTGGCTTAAAAATGATATTTATTGTGCTTGGGTTATGTTACTCTTAAATCAATTTTGTGATAACCTGCATTGGGCATGGCATAAATTAATATTTTGCCAACACGAAATGGAGAATTGGGTCTTAAGCAAAGTTGCAGGATTAGTATTTTTGTAGAAAGAAAGAGTTGAGAAATTTGTGACATTCTACCGACGGCCTTGCCATTCGCAACGTCCAATAAGGTTAATTTGTTCCCTAGTGTTGTACAAATAGTGTTCTCTAATTTATAAATTATTGCAATCTGTTGTTTAAATGATTGCCTTATAACCCCATGTCCAGCTTTGGTGCATGTAGGATAATGATGTATTGTTTATCCATTTTGCTGTAAATTATCTGTAACTGATGTGTCAATCAAAACATATCTTGGATATGCTGGCTTTTTCTGACAAATGTACCTAAGCCTCATAATCTTTGAGTGCGTTTGGTTGTGTAGGGCAGACAAAATACACATACATAACATAACTTACTCATAGCTTACTTATAATTCTTGGTATAATTTATTCATAGCAAAATTAAATAATGGTACCCAATAACAGCTCCTGTAGTCCACAATCTCATTCGAGAAAAAGAACAAACCACTTTGGAATTGAATAATAACATTATTATCAGAAGCCTGTGCAAGTATTCATGATCAGCAACAAAATATCATATTTATCGTTCATGCCAGAGTGATTTTGCTTATAGTTATACTTTGAGATATGGTGCAAACCCTTTCAGCAGGAGGAGACTCCATACAAAAATGAAGATGGCTAACTATCTTTGGGGAACAAGTTAGAAAACGAAACTTGTTAACTTTTTACATGTGTATACCATTTTGGTATTTTTGTGAGATTTCATTTGGTAGAGATTTGGGGACTGCGTATTTTGTAACCACTGCATTTCAGTCATACCCCACAACAAAAAAATGTGTAAACTTCTTTTGTGCGGGAGTCCCCATGTTAACTAAGAAAGAATATAATGATTAATAACAATGTCTTGTCTTTCTCAATAAGAAAGAACAAGAAATGCCATCAAAAAGCACAGAAGACAGTTCTGTTATGTGATCAACATTTTTGGTGGCTCCCCAGAAATCCTTGAAATCATGGCTCTATTTTAATCATCACACCATCTCACACCTCAATCTGCCGATGTAATCCTAGTTCGGGCCGAAACTATAAAATCGCTGGCAGTTTACCTCACATACATGTACATGTTGGATTATTTTCGTTAGTAACAAATCTATTGGCTAAATCTATATATTATTTGTTTACAATTAGCGTCCTTCCTTTGGAAACCAGAGCATTTTGAATTTCAGGGTTATGGAGGTTGCGTGACACAAGGCTACGATCGAGTTTGTTGAAAAATGTATACTTATCCCATGATTTTGAGCCTTTTTAGAAGATAGAGCATTAGGAAAAGTGCTTATGTAAATGTTTGTTTGTTTAGTACTGATAATCAGTCGCCTAGAAAGCCAAAGTAAGTTCCAGATGTTTGCACTATATTCCGGCGGCCATATTGGTGTACCACGGATGTACACCAACATGGCGTTTTCTTACTGGGCTCTGTAAATTTCTGGGAAACATTTACGACGAATATCTGAAGTTTGGGGAAACGCACAGTCCTAAAACTTGGAAAAGTGTCTTATTCAGTTATCTTCTATAGCGTAAATCACAATCTCTTAGCTTTTCCCATTGGTTGGTTTTCGATTTATTATTTTTTTTTATTGCGTGACAGTGAAAACGATCTGTACCCTTCGAAGAACAAAACAGCAACTGTGGGATATTTTTGTCGTAAAATGATAAAACATGTTTTTTAGTTCATAATTTTTGTACCTGTCCTCACCTTGCTCTGATATAAATCCATACCATTCCTTATTTTTTGATCGGGATCATTTGCGGTCCGGGATCCTTTGCGGTTCAATTTGGAGATCATTTGCGGTCCGGAATCATTTGCGGTCCTGGGATCATTTGCGGACTCGTACAGTTTTCCTCAAACACAAATCCAAAATGACCGATGATTGTTGCTTTTTCAAAATGTTTCCGGCGTAGTTTGGACTAAAAACATTTGATGCATTTTGAGAGTGAAAACGGCGTTTTCAAATTTCTCCGGCGTAGTGCGTCGGGACTTTAAATATAACTCACATCTATTTTACGAGATGGAATAGACTGATCTGAAGACTGGCCTGTTTTGTTAAAAAATTAACTCCATTTATAATCAGTATTAAATAATTTAACGGGTTCAAACGTTCTGCTACTTTTCAAAGCTCCTCGCTAGCAATG